GCTGCTCCTCATAGGTCAGTTTTGGGTCATGAGCTCTGTCTGCTTTATGGGTCCCAATCAAGTCGGCCTGTTCCGATTGATACGTGAGCGCCGGGCGTCTACGCAATATATTACGTGCAACCTGGCGCTCATGAGCGCCTTTGTCGGCAAGGGCGGCGGTATCCTGAATCTTGCATTCCACCACAATGTATCGAGCAGACCCGTCATCATAGTTGGGGTGGTATGGTGGGTTCATCTCTATGCGCCTGGACGTGCGTACACGGCCCCAGTGCTGTCGGCATTAAGCGGGTACTTGCAACGTAAGAGCAGTTTGCCCCGCAGAACTCTGAGCTGTTGCCGATGCTGCGGGTGAGCGAGCGCCTGCCGATGACGAGGCGGCGCCTGCTGTTCCCCCGGGCGTCCGAGGAGTCCTTGGCGGGGTACTGATGTCAAAATCCTGGCGTTTCTTCTCATTGATGTTGTAGTGCTCGGGTGCCGTATCTTTGCGAGCTGTCCCTGCTGCCTTTGCTGTAGTTTTCCAATAGTTTCTGATCGGTGCTACGCCGTGTTGAAGAAGCATCCCTTGATGATCCCTCAAGTGTCGGCGTCGGCATCCAGCCAGTCTTGTGCGTCCGGCCAGGTGTAGGGCCGCGACGTGGTACAGGGCCCTTCGGAGTTGGAGTGCTGGTGCCTTGAAACGCAGCTGCGGCGGCAGCCCCTGCTGGTTTTCTGGATCGACGTCGATCAGCAGATTGCCCCGCAGGTCGTGGTTGCTTGCTGTCTCCAGGGTTAGCATCATCTGGGCTCTTCCACTTCTTTTGTTTGGGCGGTGGTCTGAGCTGATCGGGCCCGAGCGACTTAGACGGACTCGACGAATCCGAAGATGGAGACATATCAATGGGCGGATCTGTCTTCGGCTTGGGAACTGCCTTAGCCGTTGCCCCTGCAGGTAGCCATGGCCCATGTCGCGCGGGCCCTCTGCCAGGGTTCAGGTCTGTACCGTCAGGCATCCTGAGTGCCATATTACCGATAGTGGCCTTTTTCTTCCCGGACAGGAGATATTTGGTAGAGCTGTGCCTCCGGTTCTGTCTAGTCTTTACCCGGCCTGCAGATCCAGCGCGGTAGACAGCCCGTCTCTTTGGAGAAAAATCCAGTTCTTCTGCAACGGCGTACCTAGGGTCGATAGGGGTGTCCGCATCGTACGTGATGTCCGTGATGTCCGTGCCAGTGGTGAGGGCGTCGGAGGAGTCCGGGTCGTACCTTGCAGGAGCTGGTTCCGCGGGGTCTACCTCTTCGGCCATCGCTTCAGCTTCAGCTTCAGCAGCTTCTTGTTGATCGTCTTCTTCCAATTCGGGCGAAGCAGGTTCCCCCGCCTTCCACTCGCGAGTGAATATCTTCAAAGGATGGAGATGTGTAAGGTGTTTCCATATTTTAATCGATTGGGGTATTTCGTCGGCTGTAGCTTGCTCGTAGTCGTTTTCCGTCAACTGCTTCTCATGGCGTTGCCATTAGGATCGGCGCAGTAGCCCCGACCATCTCCATGAGACCAAGCCCAGTTTTTTGTGTGAAAAAAGGAAGCAGTTCGGGTTTCTCGATTGGCGTCTCATGGGGCAGCCAATCCCGTGGTCGTCATATTCGGGGCATGCGCAAACAACGCCTGTGTAAAGTTTCCTTTCCTCGACGATAGCTTTCTTGAGGTCGCGCCTGATGGGCTTTTTTCGTGCTCTGACAGGTCCGGCCCTGTCCTTATTGAGCGAATGATCTTGCTTTGCTAATTGCGCTCAACATTTGCGAAGATAATGCCAGTGACGAATCTGGTCCTCGGTCCAACCCTTGTCCAAACAGTATTGCATCGTATCTGGGTGCATGTGCTGACGAGCTAATCCAGCCTCCGAGTAGCCAACAAGGCGCTGTGTTTCGTCCTCTGGATATTATTCTTGAGGTTGGTCCCCGTGAGGCGGGCGCCCCCGCAGACGCCCCTTCTCGGGGGGGCGTCGGGTCTATTGGCCTGCCATGGAGGGGCCTTTGGATTTCCCGCACCCGCATCAGGAGGATGAGGGCTCTGGAGGCCGCTAGTGCGAGCGCCGCTGGAGCGAGCGCGCGCACGGTTGGGCGAGCGACTGGGGGTCCGACCGCGGCGTGCCAGACGAGCGTCATCTTCCCATTCTTTGTCGTCGTCGTCGGCGCGATATTTGCGTCTCCAGAATTGGCGGCTTGCCGATCGCCCCTGGCGGCCCATGGGGCGGTCCGAAGCTGCAAATGTGCACTTCAATCCTTCGTTGTGGCCAAGATCACATTGGATGCGCTCAGGCTGATCGCTGACGTCTCGCGGCCTTCCCCGCGAAGGATCATTATCACTAAATGTCATGTTTGTCGGATTTCCAATAACCCGAGGATAAGGCATCAACTGCATCCCGTTCTTGTCGCAGGAATTGTGGCATCTGAATCCGCGGGTGCCCCCGCCATTTCGGCATCTCCTTCGGCGGGCGCGTGGAATTTCTCAACGCATTCAATATCTGCTGGTTGCCCCGCGATGGGTGTGCCCAGCCAGTCTGCCACGTCAATGCCATTGTGGCCAATGAATACCTCCTCGAAAAGCTCGTCGGCGCAATTCTCGAGGGACATACTGGCACTCAAATATCTGGCAGGCAGGAAGTTAACAACTGCAACTGAGCTATCGGCAGGGTCGGCTAGAAGTGACTCTCAGTCAACAGATTGTATATCCGAGTCTGTTTGAGCCAAATGTATCGACGGACCTCTGCTTCCCCCGTCGCCCTGAGGGCATTCGCGGCGGCATATGCCGCATTCCATGGTTTTACCATTGGCATCCTTCGGGTTTCCCTGGCGTCCCTTACCTTTTCTTAATGTATGCCTGCGATTCCTGCATGCGCCTACAATATATTGCAGCAATCACTGATGTCTCTTTGCGGCATGAGTCGTGGCCAGGTCTTTTCGATCCATCGCCCATTGTGCTCAAGTTTTTTTCTGCTGAAAAGTTCAGCAGCGCAGGCTCGCGTGGGCCTTCTCCTAGCTCTCGACCGCCCACTTCATATATCCTCTCACCAAGGCGGGATCGAACCGACCTCGGGAGAGTGGACCTGCCACGCTCCGCCCGCCATAGCAGAGATCCGCGAGCCCGTGCTGGACATCGTCGGACACGGTGTCGTGGGTCGCCCCCTTCTGTGGTGACGGTCACCCAGTCTGCTCGTGCCCAGCGTCATCTCTTGCAGGCTCGCCTAGCGGCGGGCGGACGGTGAGTCTGGAGTTCGCGGCGACGCTCTGCTTCCTGAGTCTGCTCTCGGCTACGTGCTTGGGAGGTGAGGTGGACGTCGCCAGGCGACGGAGTCGTCCACTCCTGCTGCCTCGCCGGGTCCAGCGTCTCGTGAGTGGGTGGAGGCATGGCGGCTGTCAATCGGACTCTAGACGTGGATGAGCTGCAGATACTCGTTCACTACGAGGACGATGCTGCTGGGTTGCACTACCACCATCGTGTCTTGTTCACAAAGGTGGCCGCTGGTCGCTGGTTCATAGGGACCCCCGACGGTGACGTCTATGAGGAGGAAGGACTTCAATGGGGTTGAGGTGCGACCGCTGGCACGTAATGGAGCTTTCCCAGTGGATCTAGCAGGGATGATGTACGTGTTTCGAGGCCCACAGCGGGCCGCTGCTCGGATCGCCACCATGCGAGAGCAGGCGCGTGGAATCGCGGAGGTGCTGGGCGTGGCTTCTTCACCGGGCGCTGGCGGAGTTGCAGGCTCCAGCTGGCGCGTGGCGGATCCTTCATCAGCTGAGTTCGATCAGGTCATCACTGCTGCCGAGCTCGCCGACTCGACCGAGGATCGCGACGACGGTGTCAAGGTTCAGCGGTTGGCGCTCATCAGCGGCGTCACCTAGCTGGTCGAGTTAGTGAAGGACACGGACCACGACGCCTGGTTCGCTCGGAAGCGGCCTGGGCTGCCTGGAGGAGCTTCAGGAGATTTGCGGCTGCTCGGCCATTTTCTGAAATCTGCGCAGCGACGTGTGCTGCCGCTGGCGAAGGCAATGGAGCTTGTGACGCCTAAGACGTTCGCTGACTGGCCTCATCCTGGGCCGAAGGCGACCCAGGAGTTCCTCGAGTCGGTGCTCGAGAACGGCGGGGACTTGCAGGTGTGGCTCAACGCTTTCATGCGCAAGTCTGGGGTCAGCGAGAACTCTTCGGTGGTGCATGAGCTTCGGAACCTGGTCCAGATTGTGAGGCTCGGGATCAGCTACGACCAGATCGATCCGACCAACCTGGCTAGCATCGAGCAGGCCGTGCGCAGGATTCACGAGATTCAGCAGGCCATCCGCCGGAACCCGAAGCACCCGGACTTCACGGGCCTCGACATCGGCACCATCGGGTCTTGCGACGAGATCGGCGGGGCCCGCCTGCGCAGCTTCGATTCCTGGCTCAGCAGCAAGCAGAAGGAGGAGGCCAAGACGATGGAGGCCCAGAGGAAGTGGCGCGAGGAGCTTGCCGCCGAGCGTCGACGATCTCACAATCGAGATGGGCCTCCAAATCCCAAGGCTAAGGCGAAAGCAAAGGCCTCTCCTGCTGGCCAGCAGGAGGGGCAAGCATCATGACCGTCACGGCTCCGGGAGGCAAGGATGAGACACTTCCCTGCCGAGCCTCCCGTGTACTAAGTGGGGAGTTTTTGGAAAGAGGAGGTGGGCCTAAGCATGGTGATCCGTTCCCGCTGCCAGTACCTCGTATTGCTGGTCGCGATGATCGTGGGCTTCCTCCACACCGCGAAGCGCCTGGTTTGACTGTTCGAAGAAGCAGACAGCTCAGAGTTGCCGAAGCGGTGCGCAGTCTTAACACTTTGGCTGCCTCTACGGCCTCCTCGATACGCTCTGGAGGCGCTTGGTTTGGGACCTCATCTCCGCCGCGCCTTTCTTTCACCCAGACTGCTGTGATGAATCGAGTTCGAGACGTCGTTGGTAGTTATGGGCCGATGCCGGCGAGGATGACAGCTCGGGGGGCTTTCTGGGAGCTTCTCAAGGCTAACGACCTGTACTGCGTCGGCGAGAAGAACCTCGCCCCGTGCCAGCCCGATCTTCTGAAGATCGCGAAGGGCAAGACGGTGCCAAAGCCCGCCGTCGACTTGCTGCCGCCTGAGGAGGCGGCGTTCTTGATCGATCCTGATAGGTACCTCGTCCGCTCGCAGCCTGAGATCGATGCGTGGAATGAAAAGCACCCGACTTTCAGGCCCTACTGGGACCCCCACTTGCGACAAGATCGAGCTGCGCGGCTCGACCTCTATCACAAACTCTATAGCAAGGGACTCTTGGGGTTCCAGACTCGTGTCAAAGCAAAGGTGGGGATATTCTTCGTGTGGAAGTCGTCTCGCCGTGGGATCAGGCTCATCGTGGACGCCAGAATGCCGAACGGCCACCACCGCTTGCCGCCGAAGACTAGACTGGGTGGTGCCAGCGCCCTCTCCCGGCTCGACGGCTGGCTTGACCAGGATGAGCTTGCTAGCTTGGCGCAGGGATGCGGCCCGATCGCCGAGATCCCGAACCTCTCGGTCTGCGTGGGCGACGTGGAGGACGCCTTCTACCAGTTCTCCGTTGAGTCGATGGCTGAGTGGTTCGGCCTAGACGACCCCGTCCGGTGCTCCGAGTTCGGCCTCTCGCAGATCTTCGACAACGATCTTGGGGGGCTTCGCCCCGCCCGTCCCGCGGAGAAAGTGTTCCCCGTCTTTCTCGGGATGCCGCAAGGGTGGTCCTGGGCCCTGCACTTCTGTACCACCTCGGTGAAGCACTTCACCTCCGCTGCGATCGGGGGAAAACACCGGCTGGTGCAAGAGGGGCTCCCTGCTCCTGATCTTCGATCCTGTCTCAAGCGTCTACGTGGACAACCTTACCACTGTGGGCCTCTCGAGCTCCGAGGTTGCGTCGGACTACGCGGTGATCAAGAGGGAGCTTGAGAGCGCGGTGTCATGTCATCCACTATCTTGTCCTCCTGAGGCCGGCGATGTCTGTCTTTGCCCACGCCTATCGTTTTGTGAACAGCAGCCTCGGACGTACATGTGAGCTACCTGGTCAGGTGAAGCGTGAGTTCCGCCTGATGGCGGGACTCGTTTTCTTGGCAGAGGCGCGGCTGTCTGTTCCACCATCGGATCGAGCTCACTGTGGAGACGCGTCAGGGAAGGGATACGCCGTCATGGACACCCCCATGGGCCCCGCGGAGTTCCGAAAGCTTACGAGGTGGAAGGAGCGTTGGAGGTTCGTGGAGGTGGAGGGGGATCGCGGGGACATCTTTAAGGCCTCTGGAAACCTGCCGCCCCCGAACCCTGGCTGGTCCGCTGATCTCGAGGTGCCTGACACGTCGTATTCGCGGTGGCTTCTGGAGTCTGCTGGGGTACCCATCCCGTCCTCAGGTGTCCTGGAGTCGGGGGGCTTTCGTTCGGGAGTCTGTAAACTACGGGGTAAAGAACGTAGACAGCTAGAGCAGAAGGAGATAGTTGGCATGGTCCCGATCCTCCCCGAGAACGTTGTCGATCCTGGTCGTTGGCGCACTCTATTCGAAGGGAGGTGGAAGAGGGGCGAGGCCATCCATATGAAGGATGGGAGGGTGATTCTGATGGCGCTCCGCAGAGAGTCCTACACTCGTTCAGGTCATGGACGTCGGCTCCTCGTGCTGTCTGACAACCTCTCGTCTCTGTGCTGTCTCGAGAAGGGCCGAGCCAAAGACTTCGGCCTGCTTGCCCTAGCCCAGAGGTGTGCCGCCTACTCGATTGGATGTGGCATCGACCTGAGGCTCCGATACATCGAATCCGAACGGAATCCCGCAGATGAGGGATCGAGACGCTTCGACGACGAAACACATCACGTTGCCACAACCACTCGGGGCCCTCCGCGCTGCTCGGCCTCGTCAGCTCTCTCTCGCCGGCTTCGGGACGATAGACCCGCCGTCGGCCATCCTCCTCGGTCTCGGGGAGCTATACCTCCTGCAGGAGTTTCACTGAATCTGAAAAAGAGCGCCTCTAGGTCTGCATCGTCCTGGCAGTCAGGCAGGGACGTGAGTGTTCAACAGTCTTCGTCTCGTCCGCCGTCTTTATCATGCTCTACGAGACGCTTCGCGCCAGCCTTCCTGGAGCTCTACTCGGGATGCGGGGCTCTGACGTCTGGGATGGCCGAGGTGGGCCTCAGGGTGTCCGTGCCGTTCGATATCGTCGAGGGTCCGGAGTTCAATCTCGAGAAGCGGGGTGTCTAGGATGTCGTGGTCAGGTGGCTCGTCGAGGGCCGGATCTGGTACTTGCATCTTGGGACGCCGTGTACTCCTTGGAGTATTGCGAGGAAGTCTCGGCCCATGAAATCGTCGATGCGGGTGTCTCGGGAGCACGTTCGGTTCACCGCAACGTTGATCAAGCTCTGCACAGACCTGAAGATATACTTCTCCCTCGAGAACCCCAAAACCTCATCTCTGTTTAGGCAGCCTGAGATCCTGGAGGCTCTGAAATATGCGGACGCCTTCTTTGTCGAGTATGACTGTTGTCGATACGGCTGTTCGTGCAAGAAGCCGACCCTGCTAGCTACCAGCTGCGATTCTTTGAATAGCCTGAGTCTGAAGTGTGAATGTAAGGGGCCTCACGAGATCCTTCATGGGAAAGTACGACTATTGGCTCGAGACGGACATCATTGCTGGAAGTGGAAGACCAGTCTTGCAGCCTCGTACGCCCCCCAACTGTGCCGGTCGTGGGCGTGGGCCGCACGCCGCGCCGCTCCGAGGGGAGCAGAGCGCTCGCCAGGCGAGGCCCTACTGTCGGATGCTTGGCTGGAGGAGCTGCGTCGAGGCGCTGGAGCCGGTCTCCGTCGGCCGCGGCTCGAGCTCGGCCCTCTCCTGCGCCGCTGGACCTCGCCCTGGGCCGAGGCTACGGGCGCCTGGCGCACGGGCCCAACTTGCCGCTGGGCGTGCTCTACGTCTCTGGGCGGAAGAAGGACCAGGGTTCCTGAAGGCGCCCACGACCCGGTCGGCAGGGGGCCTCCAGGCTTACACGGAGGCTAAAAACAAGGTCACTGCCTTCGTCTGCCGCAGTGGGCTGCCGTTCGACACCGCTCGTCACGTCGACGAGGCGCTGAGGGTGTTCATGGAGCTGTGATTCCTGTGCGGTGAGCCGCAGTCAGTTGCTCGCTCCGCCCTGTACGGCCTCGCGAGTTGCCATCCAGAGATGCTTCACTGAGACCGGAGGCTCTACATCAAAAGCCGTGCTGCACTCGCGGGACGGCGCAACTTTGAGCCGGGCGGGACGCGCGATCCTGCCCCCGCCGAAGTCGCGGGGCGGATCACTGACGACATGCTCCAGGGAGGTGCGGTGCTTGTCGCCTTTTCTGATCGTCCTGGGCTTCGACTGTTGTCTGCGGGCTGGTGTAGAGTGCACGCTGCGCCACTCCACAGTCGCGCCACCGGCTGCTGCAGTTCCAGTGTGATGATTTCATCTTCCCCTCCAAGCATTGAGAATTCGTGAAATGTTTCAAGGATTCGGTTGGGCGGCTCGGCACATCGCACTCCTGTCTGTCACCCCAGTGCCTGCGCCACGGTGGCCCGTCAACGGACGCATACACCATAGCTTACACTCTAGAGCAGGTGCGCCGCCGAGAAAATTGGGCCGACCATCGCAGTGTATCTAGATTTGGGAATCACACTCGTCTGCACGCTGTGTCTCGATCGCCGCAGCTGGGCGATCTGCGCCCTGTCTCGACCGCCGCTGCCGCTCTCTTCGGTTGCCTGCTCACGGCCCTCCGCCAACCAGCCCTTTGGTCTAATGAAAGGTATATTGCAACTGTTACGTGAGTGACTGTTTCGGTCGCGCTCTCTGCGATCGTGGCTCTGGCAAGCGCGCTCCGAGCTTATGTTTTACAGATCCAAGCGTGCGCTGGCTGCGCACGGTCTCGAGAAAAAGAGGAGCTCTGGAGGTCCTTTAGGCTCTCAAGTGGTCTCAGACCGTGGGTCAGTATGTAGCCTCCTTGGCCACGCAGGTTACTGAATGTAAAGATTGCAGCAATCACTGATGTCTCTTTGCGGCATGAGTCGTGGCCAGGTCTTTTCGATCCATCGCCCATTTTGCTCAAGTTTTTTCTGCTCCTCCTGCGCCCCCTCCGCCACCCTCTCGCTGTGTTCCAAACGAACCCAGCCCACTCCACATTTAACGGGAACTGTTACGTGAGTGACTGTTTCGGTCGCGCTCTCTGCGATCGTGGCTCTGGCAAGCGCGCTCCGAGCCGATGTTTTACAGATCCAAGCGCGCGCTGGCTGCGCACGGTCCCGAGAAAAAGAGGATCTCTGGAGGTCCTTCAGGCTCTCAAGTGGTCTCAGACTGTGGGTCAGTATGTAGCCTCCTTGGCCACGCAGGTTAGTGAATGTAAAGATGTACATATATATATATATGTATTCATATTGTGGCCCGGTAAGGGACGCTAGGAATGCTAATATGCCTCTGCCGTGCAACCGAGGACGCTTACCTTTACCCTTACCTCGACCGTTGCCTTTTCCCTTGAGCGCTCGTCGTGCGATACGTCGTACCTTGCCGACATGCTTCTTCATGAATATCCTCCATCTGCGCGTAGTGTTCTGGTATCCTAGGAATATCCATTGCGCCTGTTGCTCTCCCGTGAGGTATGTAGGCATATCGGAGTAGTCGAGGGCCGTGGCTTCGTCGTCCGAAGACGCATCGGCGTCAGTGCCGGGGTCGAAGTCGGACTCGGCAGGTTGCCCCGCTGAGCCCATTAGGGTTGTGGCTTGCGTTGGGGGTACCGCGTCGGGCGGCCGCGAAACCTGGCCCAGGACTCTTGCGACCCCGAGGCCGATCTACCATTCTGAGCCAGTAGCGTAGTGGTCTCAGTTGGTTGTTGATCGTCATTCCAGACGTTATTAGCAGATGGCCCTGCGTTTGCCTCAACGTGGAAGGTCTCGGTTCGATGACCGCGATTGAAAATGCCACCAATATTGCCAGGGGTCCTCTCAGCAATGTGTGCATATGACCTCATGCGTTCGAGTAGAGCCTCAAACTGTTGCTGGTCTCTCGGCACGTGGTGGTTTAGTGGCTGCGGGAGTTGCTGTGCACGCGATGTCCCCGCTCCAGGAGCTCCGAATCAAATAATTGTTAATATTCGGAAGTTGGGGATGTTCGAGCCTGCCGTTTCAGCTTCATAGCGGGCTAATTCGAAGCGCGCCAACGTTTGGTCGATTTGTTTTCCCGCATGGACTCGGAAGTCAATGAGAGCTGCACTAGAGTTAAGTTGGCGTTCCTCTTCTAAGGTCTCGGACTTCGTGCTTGCAGAGGAACGTGATGTAGGTGGCGCCGTCGGTATGGCGGCCACCTATGTGAACGCCCAAATTGATAACTGCTGCGGGAACTCTCATAGCTATGGTCCGCGCGAGGCCTCCCAAGCCTCGCTGCAGGGCTGCAGCTTGTTGGGAGGGGCGTCATGTTGCCTGTGATCACGTTGAGCCAGGCATGTACCTCGCGGGCGAATTCGCGAAAAGATACCTGACCGGCGGGGTCCCAATGGGGGCCGGTCGTTCTTGCGTCGTCTCCGCCGCGCGCATGTCCCGCCGCGCACGCGGCGCACCCGATAGCAACTCAAGTGAGCCCAAAGATAGGAAAGAACACGTTCTACCACTGCTGGCGGAAAACCAGGGGGGGTCACTACCAGTTCGAGCCCCCCCCCCCCTCCCGCGCACCCATCGAAAACCGAAGGGGGGTCGCTGCTGGTTCGAACCCTTCCCCCCCCCCCAGTCCAACATGAAAAAGGGGGTGGGGGGTCGCTGCCGGTTCGACCCCCCCCTCGAAAACCGGGGGGGGGGGTCACTGCCGGTTCGAAACCCCCTTCCCCTTCCCCCACCCGCTCCCCCTTCGAAAACAGGGGGGGCGCGGACAGTGGCGGGGGCGGTGGTGGTGGGGACAGTGGTGAGGGGACAGCGGGACAGTGGCGGGGGCGGTTGGACAGTGGTGGGGGTGAGGACAATGGTGGGAACAGTGGGGACAGTGGGACACTGGTGGGGGCGGTGGTGGTGGGGGCAGCGGCGCGGGGACAGTGGGAATGTGGTGGGAACAGTGGGAGAGTGGAGGGCACAGTGGTGGTGGGGACAGTGGTGAAGGCGGTGGCGAGGACGGCGGTGGGACAATGGGACAGAGGTACAGTGGGGACAGTTGCGGGGACAGTGGGGACAGTGGTGGGAACAGTGGGACAGCTCAGTGGGGCAGCGGAGGAGTCAGTGGGACAGTGGGGACAGTGGGGATAGTCGGGCAGTGGTTGGGGCCGCGGAGAAAGTGGGGAGAGTGGAACCGTGGTGGGAGCAGTGGTGGGGACAGCGGGGGCAGTGGGGACAGTGTGACAGTGGCGGGGGCACTGGTGGGGGCGTAGGGCGGTGGCGGAACGGCGGGGACAGTGGTGGTGCAGGACAGTGGCGCTGGGAACAACAGTGGGGGATGTGGTGCGGACGGTGGTAGGGCCGGGAGTCGTTTGCTGGCGGTGAGGGGGGGAAGGGGGGGGGAGGGGTGCGAACCAGCGTGACCCCCCTCTGGTTTTCGAAGGGGGGGGGGGGGTCGAACCGGCAGTGGCCCCCCGGTGCTTTCGAGGGGGAGGGGGGGGGTTAGGGGGGGGGGGGTTGTGGAGGGGGGGGGGGGGGGTAAGGGGGGGGGTCCGAGGGGGGGGGCCCCGGGCTTCGGAGGAAGAGGTGGGAATTTTCCACAGTAGAGTGGCGGTGGAAACGCTCTTTCCAAGATATTAACACCAATCCAATGGCCTCGCAAGTC